TGATTATATTAAAGTCTCGCACCCTTCTCCAGTTGCCTGCTGATAGGTTTGTCACAAATGGGAAACCAAATCAAATACAGTACTGGTAAACTAAGTCTGAGGATGAGGCTGGGATTTATCAACATTTAAATAATTGATCCACGTGCAAATCTAGGGCCATAATCCTGCACACTGTTACAGTAACATGGATGATTGGTGTGAGGTATGTGACATCACAAACTGTGCAATGCACCATGAGATTTGGCCTCACTAATCATTCATTTCCAGACACACAGAAAGCTGAATAAATGGGCATGGCAAATGTGTTTCTTCTTCATCCGTACTTAACAACATGTTGCATTTCTGGAAAGTGAGCAGAATTATCAGAGAAGCTGACAGCACGAACGCCCGCCCCAATGGTCACATGCCCTGCGACTACAAGACACTCACTTCTCAGTGCTTACGTGATCGGAGGCACATCAAGATCCTTCCTAAGAGAAAGGAAGTGCTCCGGGCCTCCCCTGCAGCAGAACCAAATCTGTCTTGTGTGGCAAGACTCATTTTCTGGCTAGGTGGCCCCATAACCTTCGATGTCTAAGGCCCCTGGGAGATGTTAATTTAGTCACACAATTGGGAGCTGACAAATGTTTTCTGGGATCCCAAAAAGCACACATCCTGCTGTGGCAGACCTGTATGACAGAACACACAATTTTTGGGATTTCGGATAAAATCATTCAGATAACATTGCATATACAGAAATCTTTAAAACTGTTTTATGCAGCTCAGGATCATACTTTAAACTTTCTGGGGCACTGGGAGCTGATGGGCCTGTTGGCTCCCCGCACCCCAGCACTTTATGAAAGGACAGCTAGAAGGGACCTCAGGAGGTCACCAAGACCAACCCTGTTCAAGGAAGGATCGTTGATCTACATAAACCATTCCAGACAAGGGTTGATCTAGTCTGCTCTGAAAAATTTCCAAGGAGAGACATGCTACAGTCTCTCTAGGTAACCTGTTCCAGGGCTTAACCATCCTCGTAGTGAGAAGGTTTCCTAATATCCAACCAAAATTTTCCTTGCTACAACTTTATATTGCCCTGTCCCCTGCAGCCACCATCCTCTTTATAACTGACTTTCAGGTGGCTATACATCTCCCCTTCTGTCCTTCCTTCCCCACGTCTTCCAATCATGCCTTGTAAGGCTTTCTTTCTAGACTTTTAATAATTTTTCGTGTTCTCTGGGGGACTTGATATAATTTGTCCACATTTCTTGAAGTATGGTTCCTACAACGGGACACAGGACTCCAAATGAAGCCTTCCTAGAGCTGAAAATGAAGCTCCAGTGAGGCTGGTCAATCCCTCCCACAGCTCCAAGGACATTTGCTAAGTCAGTGCAATACAGTGATCCCCACCCGCTGGAGACCCTGGTGCTAATTCAGCCTGCATGTCTTTCTGCACTCATCAACTTTTAAATGTGCTTAATTCCCACTAATTTCACAAATAGTGAAAGGTACAGTTTTTCAATTTGATTCATTTTGAAACTATTATTTATTCTGCTACCTTCACGGAAAACTTTCGCTGTGTTTAGCCTTACAATCAGAATTTTAAAAGTGCAATGAACAATGAAAGATAAAAATGAACAAGTGGCAGTAGAGTTTGAAACAGTCTGCTCCTTCCCGTATTCCAGATAGAGGGTGCTCTTCTGTTACAAATCTCCTCCTAACTTTTCTGAAAACAGGATTGGGTTTAGTTGGGTTTTCTTTGTCTGTTTCATAGAAAGACAACCCAATCAACCAACTATTTTTTTAATATAGTTTGAATATAGAAATAATATAGGTTTTTCATAGAAGTGGAAAAATGACCACAAAATCATCTAGACTTTCCACTGTTAAATTCCATGGTAAAAATGATGTCTATTCAAAGAGGAAAATGGACCGTTCAGCTGAATTTCTGGCAAGCAGCTGAAATTCAATTCCCTGACTGAGCCTGCTAAAAATTGTGGTGTGTCCTGGGTCTTTTTTTCTTAAAATAGATTGAAATATAAAATCAGAAAATAGAATACCAAGTTCCCTGGCCAATTCCAGCTATAAAACAGCTGCAGAGTTTAATTATTCCCTTTCCTTCTAGGCAGGCATGGGAATTAACTAGTTAACTAACTAGTTAAAAAGTTAAAGGAATGGCTAACTTTTAACTTTAACTAGTTACAAACAAAAAGGTTAACTTTAACGTTTAAAAAGTATAAGCTAAAAGTTGTTTTAAAAAAAATTGAAATCTGGCTTTCCCAGAGTTTTTCCTGACATAACCACTCTCTGGGACTTGCATGGCATGATATTTCTTTATTGAAACTCTAGGACTTCTTATTTGAGAGACAGAGAGTAGTGCGCCTTCCTATGAGATAGGGTCTCCTAAGAAGTACAAGTCCCAGAGTTCCTTAGTTCATGCTGGCATTTTCTGTGCATTTCCAGAAGTCGCCAGGGCAGGTAGTCAGCTCCAGGAGTGGGAACAAGCACTCTCTCATCGGCCCATGTAGAGCGACTGTTCAGTAGTGGGGGCTTAGTTTTGCAAGACAGAAGAGGAAAATTGTCAGATGTAAATTTTGAAATGCAGTTTTTGCTGAAGTTCAATAAGCTTGTTTAAACAGTTCTTCTATGCAACTGAACAGTCTTTTTTTCATTTAAACTGATTTTCTCATTTCAGTCTAATTTTGATTTTCAGACACTTTCATTATTTCCAATTCAGATGTATTTCATACCTTTTTGTTACCTTTTGAGCACTAAAAATTGTAACAACAGAGGTTTTCTGTGGAAACCACTTTCATTGTCCCCTGGTTATGAATATCTCCTTTCTGTTATTCTGGTATACCTGTATGATGCATTGACTTTTACAAGTACTTCTCATGGAGAGGATGAGAAGGATCTAACATTACATAGGTATTGGTAAATTGTTAGTCTGAAAACTGTATGACAAGTATAACACTGTTTTCAGGTGAAGCAGGGTGAGTTGTGACTAAATTAGTGTGCTTCTGTGGGCATATGGAAAAGAAACCCACTCATTGCATTTGAAAATGAAAAATGATGCTAAGGTGCAATTCATCGTGTTTCACGCATTTCTCATGAATCGACTTAACTTTTAACGAGTTACTCTCCTTTTAACTTACCTTTTAATTAGTTGAAAGTGGAAATATTTAACTTTTAACTTAGGATAATTTTGAAGGCTGCTAAATTTGAACTTTAACTAGTTACATTTTTCATAATCTTTTCCCATGACTGCTTCTAGGTTTTACACGGGTTTTTTTTTTTCTTCCAGACTAAGGTCTGTGATTTCCTCTTGCAGTATTTGCTGAGTTGTAAAATGAAGCAATCAGCAATGAGGAAGCTGGAGCCATTCCAAGCCCTGTCACATTGCAGTCAGCTCTTAAAGAAACAAATACATTTCAAATACACTGCGAGTCAGGGTACTTAGAAACACAGGGCTGGTAGAGCTGTTGGTTC